TTCAGCATAAATTCCTACAGGTATGCGCCTTAGAATAGCAGACTAGGACCACACTAGGATGGAGAAGTCTATGAGCTTGCCTGCTTTAAGTGTGGGTTTTTGGTTTTGGTTTAACTTTGATTTTTAAATTAATAAATGGTAGAATTGATTGTCTTAATGTGTTATCTTAAAATACTGTGTACTTAACCACTATTTTGTATATTGTAACTTGTCACATTTAATGGGTTTATGTCATTCTGCGCACTATGTCATTCTTATTCTTAATCCTAGGTACTCTTGCATAAGTGAGTATGTTGTTTAAACAGATTGTAATGCAGAGAAGCCCAGTTTCGTGGCTATGCCCAAGGAGCCCAGGGTTTCATAAATTTTATTCCTATTGATCCCATGCTTAAAATCTATAAACAACTCATGGAGGATTATCTTATACCCATAGCAGGTAATCTAGATTTCTGATCCTAAACTGATTTAAATGCTAAATGTTTCTATTAGTTATGGTTTTAATTGATTGTTACAGAACATGTAAAAAAAATATTATATTTTTTTCTCTTGCCTAAGATGAAAAGCAGAGGTGCTGATTTCTTCAAATCCACCAACTGATCTTCAGCATTTTTTCTTTCTTATTGTATTATATGCATGTATAATTTATATATTTTGTGTATTGTATGAATTTGAAGAAAAAATAAAGACCTTTATTATTATTATTCTTATTATGTATTATCTTGATATTCGCCTAGCTCAACTTCCGCAAATTTGTTTCTATTCTCTTGAATTTCTAAATCCTTTTTTGAAGTTCTTCATCTTTTAGCATTTCTCTCGCTATGGTCTAGAGGTATAGGGTTGTACTAGTAAGAGTAAGTATGCTTACCTTCAAAGATTTAAAAACGGAATACTAAGAAACATAGTAAATGATCTGTGGTATATCCGCAACAAAGACCTACATCGAGAACTTCATATAGCAAAAATTAAAGAAGAAATAAAGAAGATTGCCAAGGGTCACAAAAACCGACTCCCCAATCATACAAACAGGGAAGTGTTGGAACTGTTAGATAATCAATACCTAGTTCGCAGGCTCAAATGCACCAAACCTTTTGAACCAAACCTAGTCACAACAGTGAAGTGTGCAACAATAATTATTAAATTCTAAGGTGAACAATTGAGAATACTTAGGACAGTTAAGTAGCAGATTAGGTTAAATATTTAAATAGAAAAAGGGGAAATTTAACGTCAAGGACTCAATCGATTTGGTTACTTTTAAAAGCTGAGAAATTTGCATGAGGCTGTATGAATGCATGGAAGTCTAAAACTATGAACTTTAAGTACAGAGAGCTATACTAAAAAATACTAAAAAAAAAATAATTTCTCATTTTAATTAATTCATTAAACACAGTTTTTCACTCCAAATTATTGACTTAATGTAATTTAAAAGTTAAAAAACGACGTAACATTTTAAGTATTAGATATCAGAGTTCTATGTAAATTGTTAAAAAAACTTTAATTACTTTTGTTTTAATTTATGTACCTATGTAAATAGATAAGTTATCAATATTCAAAAACATTCTGAACCTATTTCGTTGTGGCATGTTTTTTACTGAATATTTTATACATGGTAACCACAGCGGTAAGAAGAGCTCGAAGCTCAATCATTAAATAATAATATAGTGGCACAAGAACATCAGCAAAGGAAGGAAAATGATATCTAAAAATATGGTCGTCAAAAGTATCGCACTCTATGATGCCTAAGCACAAGATACACAAAATAGCACACAGAATAGAACAGCGAGATACACAGAATGCGTATACCTGGGACTGTTGTGAATACCTGGGACTTTGTTATTCTTTTGTGCCCATATTGCTTGTTACACTTCTATTGTTCTATATTTTCGGTGTCTCCCCCAATTAGATGCATGCTCATAAGCACTTCATTTTCTTACATCCCTAAAAGAGTTTGGAAATAGGTTAGGTCTACGCCATAATCCCGTTTCCTGCACGCCTTTATAAATAAGTCTATAAATTTTCACTGTTTGAAAATCTAATATGGCATGTTTCATCTTATTGTCAACTATGAAGGCTACTCTGAACTCTTTGTTTCTGCTATATACCATTGTCTATCTCTATCCATATCTTTTATCATGTATCTCCTTGATTCCTTCAAATATGTTTATTTGTGTTTCTCACAATGTTCAAAAACACTGTACAGACAGAACCGACAAGTATCTTCTTCCATCAAATCCATATAACTCAAATGCTTATTGAGCCTACAAATCCATTTTTTTCTGTAATTATCTAACTCTTGTTTAGATTTGGTAGTCTTCTTACCTCTGCTCCAAGCTTTCATAAAAGTTTATTCTACAAAGGGTAATTTTTCTTTTTCTTTCGTGATCTCTCTGGGTAGCTTTCGTGGTAAGCTGTACCTATGGCCTCACTACCATTTCTACTGTGCCAATTCGAGACACTCTATATCTCTAATGGTACTTATGCTTTCCTTAAGAGAGCTTCCAAGTATGCTTTATTCAAAGGAGAAGAAAATTATTAACAGAAAAAAAACTAAATTTAAAATATTTTAAAGAAATTTAGTGAAAAAATAATATGACTAAAGATGTTAAAAAAGACATTTAAATTATAGCACTCTCTTGTAGTGCTGGCTTATTTTGTAAGATAATAACTATCAGTGGTAATCATAAAAAATTAATACTTTAAAGAAATACAAAAACTGTCATACAGATATTTTCAAACAAGAATTGTACCTGTACAATAATGAAACCAATCTTCACCTGTGGGGATATACCTAGGTATATCTGCTTTGGATGTACCAATATATATTATTTTTATAAAAAAGTATTAATCTACAGTTAATAGGCAATTGTCTCATTTGCAATAATTGTGTTATTTAATTTGTAAATATAATATTTTTAACACTAAAAAACTGGATCAAAATAAATTCCATTATAAACCAAAACTTCCCAATTTAACTACTGCCTAGATAATACAAACACAGATATTTCATCTTGTTAATCAGTCTTATCTCAAAATCCCAGGTATCAGTTTTATCTTAATAGGATGAGATATCCAAACATGGATATACAATTAACACAAAATGACAAAATATTGACTAATACTAATTTAGTTTTAGTTAATTTCACAATTTTGCAGATAACTAGAATAAATAACTTAATTAAGGTAGTACATACTAAAACAGAGGACTCAATATTTTAGGATGTTCATTAAACCTTTTAAATGATGTGGCATAATTTTGTATAACAAATATTTAAGAAATTTTTGTTAAAAAATTTAAATGTTGAAATTAAAAAATAATGTATTTTTGCTTAGATAAATGAATTTATCTGTTATTAGTATTGGTAAATCTCTTTTGGATTCCCATATTTACTTGTCTTAGTAAGATTCTAATAATTTATGAATAATAAATTGGAAAATCCAAAAATGTGCTAGGATAATCCAATTAGGGTGAATTGATTTAAATGGCAGCTTACTATTTTTTTATTGAGAATAAGCAACAATTTTACTTTAAAATAAGTTTATTTTAAAGGTTTTATTTCCCTTCGGAAATCAATTTCAAAATAAAAAAATTAATAAAAAAATATATAAATGCTTTGTATTTTGAGAATAACTAAATCAAAACATCAAAATAAACTTATTTTAAAGGCAAATTGCGACTTATTCCCAAAAATATAGTAAATATTAAGATGCCACAAGAAAAAAGCTTCAGAAAAATGGCATTGTCACTTCAGTCCCTTGTAGATATCCCCAGTGAGATATTGCTTTGTATGGCATGAATCATTGCTGTTTCTTAAAAGTATATATGAAATTAAATACTACCTGATCACTGATTTGAGCATGTAGCGCACTAAGATTAAAATGAGTGAAAAAATTTCGTCTTTTAATTCAAAATAAGATATAATTTTGCATTGGCCAAATAATATCTTCAAAACCATATTTTTGTTTATCTATTTTAGAGGTTAAAATTAATTCTAAAAATGAAAATTAATTCCTTATATTAAAAATAATTTCAAAAAATTAGAAATTCTAAACCAAATAAAATTCTTAGCGAATTAAATGCTCAAACAAACCACCACCTTGTGAAAAACAGAAACCAAATCTATTATATAAAGCCTATCTCATGGAGTTGACTTCATTTACCAATATGTTTCTGCTAAGTTCAATTATCTTTTTTCGTAGTTGCTCTAAGTTTGTGGCTAGCTTAAATTTATGTACAACTTAGCGTTTAGAATCTCTCAAAAACAAAAGTTTAGGGGAGCTAAGTAGGGTGACTGCAGGGCCATTTTAATGTATCATATATACTAATTACATGTTCACAAATAATTAAAGCTAAATAATCTCTAACAGCCTGTGCATTTTTTTAAGGACAGCTGTCTTGTTGAAACCAAATTTCATTTAATTGATCTAAATATGTCAAAACACAGGAATACTTTGATTTTTACATTTTACTACATTTAGATTTCCTTTGATAAAAATGGACCAATAATATGGTCTAATAACAACATTTAAAATGACCATCAGGAAATATTTCTTGAGTAGTCTGCACAATATAACAATGGTAGTTAGTTACATGAACAAGGTGCTGCCTCTGCCAATGCACAGACCTGGTTTCTCTAATGTCCTGATCTTGACTAATTTTCTTTTCCTGAGGTTGCTCAGGAACAATACTCATTCCAAAGTTGAAGTATTAAAAATCATAGAAACAAAATGTCTAGGACTGATTTTCAGTTCAAAAACAATTAAAAAGAAAATATGCTTGATATTTAATGGCTCTTTAAAGGCTGAAAGTTTATACATGAACTCAAAAACTTTATTGCAAACAGAAAAACTATAAAATTTAAATAGTTTGGTTTGTTTTATACCTCTATAAGTTCTTGCTATTTTTTAAAATATACATGTTAAGTATGTCTTCATATTTCATGTTTACATTCAGAAATATATAAATAATCACTGTTCAGTATGTTTAATAATATTGTTTTACTAACCTGCAGAAACTGTCCCATATGTGCGTACTCCATTACTATCTACCATAGGGGAAATAACGTCTGCCTTTTCCAGGATGGCTAAAGCAACTCCTTGCCAAAATGATAAAAATATAACGGACTTAACTGTGAAAAACTTCAATACTGGTTCAAAAGGTGTAAGTAGTTCTCGTGTAGCAAAATAAAATAAGAACAGTCCATATAAGGCAAGAGATACAGATATATTATATATTATGGTAATGTATAAATAACCACCATCAGGGCTCCAATCTCCATCTCTATAGTGCCCAAAAGCTTGTAAGAATATAATTATAAATGCCATTATAGGTTTTACCAGACAAAACTGTAGGGTTGCTTGTTTGCAAAACCTTAAAAATCCAATTGTGTAAGTCTTTCCATTTAGACAACAAGTACCAAACATACAACTAGATCTAATAGGTTTTTCTCGAATTTCTGACATAATATTTGATTCTCCTCCTAAGTACTCATAACATAGGGATAAAAAGTTATAAATTACAAATGCTTCATAACAGTCACGAACTGTGAAGAAATATACATAGTAGGTATGTGAGTTAAAGAATAAGAGGCTTATCCATGAGTATATAGCATAAATTGGTACAATAAATAGTATCCTTACAATCCAACGTTGTTCAGAAGGATTTGTATACCACCTGAGATGATGGTAGATTTGACTACAAGTCAAAAATAGAGCTGCCCAGACAAATAGCCCAGCTACAGTTTGACATAATTTAGTTTGTAAGAATATTGGATCAGGTTCTAGAGCAGATTCTATTATCTCGGTACTTTGTGTTGAATTTAAATCTAAAGGACTAGAACTGCCCACTGAGGAATCCATAGTTGACATATGCTGTTGATGTTTTTATCTACACAAAAATATATATTTAAATATTTTGTCTACACCTATGAAGGATCCTGGTGATTTTTCACTGTTGTTAAGTTCACAACTACATCACTAACACAACCATTTTCCTGATCTGAAGAATTAAATTATCAATTATTGGAACTACAGTACTTTTAGGTCGATAAAAATAAAACGATTTCCCTTGCTACTTTGCAAATTTTGACACTTCCTAAGTTTCCTAGTAGTCAGATAAGGACTGCCAATAGTAAAAATAATCGATTCGACATTTTAGTTCTTTTTAAGTTTATCAAATTAAAGTTACCGACAATGATAACAAACCGCCATAAACCGTAGGTATGTTCCGAAAAATGGTTTTACGTTTTTAGCACAGAACACGTTTTTGCCTTTTTGCTTTGTTTTTTTTGCATGTATTTAAATTTTTTTTTAATACAATTTTTTAAATTTAAAGTTTTTTTACAATAAATTATTTTGATTCAATAATACACGAAAACATTTTCAAGTCAAAACCAGGAGGAAAAATTACATGCACTGTATGCATAGTTATTTAAATAAATCACAAAATTAGAATCAATTTGTTAAATGATTGAAATATTGTTTTTTATTCTGTAATCACCTAAAAGTGACCGGTAGGTCTTCTGTTGTTTTTAGTAAAAAAATTAAAAAAAAAAAGAATAGCAAACTGCCTTGGTGGCGATGTGGTAATAGCATCAACTTACTCAACCTAAAAAATCGGGATTACAAGTTCAAATTCCGACTAAGATAAGATGAGAATTTTTATATACAAAAGCTTTTTTTGTAGAATAGGTACCGCAGTTATTTTAATATAATAAGCGATTATTTGTTAACACAATGGCTTTACTTAGCAACAAGGCATTTACTCAATGTACAATTAGCCAATTGGCTGAAGTACGAATGGTTTATTCCGGTATTACGTAAAAAATATGGGTAGCAAAAATGTAATTTTTAATTTTAAGAAAAAATATCTTATTTTATTTAACAACAAAAACAAACCAGTAAATAAATATGTGTTGACGGTTATAGTATGTTCTCTGGTTATAATCGCAGAACATAATGTTTGATTTGAATTTTTGAACTTTTTTGCTTTGACACATGACATGAGTTGGTAACATTGTTAGCGTGTTCCAAAAATGTAACTAAATCAAATAAAAGCGACGCCATTTGTAGTTTTGCGCGTGGTTTGCGTGTGTAGAGAAATCAATTTGATGAAGTGTATATCGTTCCAAGTGTTAACATAATTTATATTAAAAATGAGTTCGTCAATAGAAGAGCTATCGAAACTAAAAGTAGTGGATTTGCGAAATGAACTGGCTAACAGAGGTCTTGACCAAAAAGGAGTCAAAGCGGTTTTGGTCAAACGTTTGAAAGATGCAATGGATATTGAAGCGGGATCAGGTACAATGTTATCGGTTTTGAATTTTCTTCATCAAAATTTTATCTAAACGTTGATAACAGTACCTAGCAATTACTTAGCGAGATAATTAACAATAATAGAGTAGTAAATAGTGTTGAAATGTCACAGTGCTTACATATCTATTTTTTTCAATGTCAACATTACTGCATTTCTCTTTAAGCTTCAAAATTGTATTTACTTTTAAGTAATAATTGCAGTATTTTGTATGTGTATGCTGATATAATTATTATCTCATTTAGTAGTTGTGGGTAAAAGAAAAAAATGTAGCCTTTAATTTCTTTATCATTTTAAAAATGTAAAAATAATCATAATGTTTGGACATAAATGTTCTATAAGTTTTAATTTATCAAGTATTCTCGTTACAGCATATTGCATTATTTTAAATGTTATTTGAAATGAACCAATTTGCATTGTGATGCATTTCCAAACAAAGGATGTATTTTGTTACATTTTTCTTCAATTTGTTTGATAATTTCATACAGTTTTGGTTTAAACGATTCTAGAAAAGTATATTTTTTCTGTCAACAAAGGTATCCTATGCCCTTTGCACTGATATATTAATTTTTACATTTCCATATGCGATAACAAACAACTCATACAAATTTGGGAATAAATTTCTGATTTACTCATTTCCCAGTACCCAACAACTTTTTAGATCATGTCATTACCTCCTAGTTTGGTTCCCAAAGAGCATTAGGTATGAAGCGTATTTCCTTGCCAGCATGTATTAAAGTTATTCAAACATGCAATCCAAAATTTTTATCACACATTAACTAACTAACTTTTCTATCTAACTATCTAACTTTTAACAACAATTGAAAAAATAAGTTTAAACACATAAAATTTTACCAATGTAGCAAAAAACTTTAAACAACTTGATATGAGCAACTGACTGCTTTCTATCATCGCACCATTCTTTATATAATCTGTACATGTTATTTGTTGTTATGATACTGTTGTCAACATATATTCTGCTAGTAGATGCTCTACAATAGTGTGAAGGAACTTTAGGAATATCTTGCAACCATTCCATAACATTATTTTCTTTGCAAATTTGTCTCATTTTTCTTGGAGTAATCTTGTTGAATGTTGGAATCTTGTAGACTTTCACTAGAAGTATCAATTTCATGAGTGGCTGGCTTCCTTGAGACCCATCGTTTCATTTTGTCTTCTCCTAAATTTAATGTGTTCAAAAACATAACTCTCGGCATACCTTGAGGTAACTTCCGTCTTTAGAAACAAAAAAAGTCACGAGCACTCTTCTTTTTGGACCGTTTGTCTGAGTTTGAGTATCTTTTCGGCGCCTTTGCACTGCTCTTGCCCGAACAAGATTTTTAACATAAGTGCTTCTATGTTCCCACAACGTAAATGTCCAAATTTTTTTTAAAATTCGTAGTCTATCGTCCTGCGTAATTAAAGAACATCTAAATGAGTGTTCTTTTAAACATTTTGGCGTTATAATATGGTTTCATCGCTCCTGAACTGACATGCCATTCCTTCTGGTAATGTGTTGTACATCGCCAAAACACAAATTTTGCCTTTTTCCTGTTCCAATATAGTAGCTGCAGGCAAATTTAGACCGACAATAGGAAAATATAGTAAACACAATGAAACTAATGAGAACGGACAATTCCTGATAGATTTCGCAAGAGAAAAAAATATGATCATAATGAGCACATATTTCGAAAGAAAAGAAATACACAAGGAAACATGGATATCGCCAGATAGAAAGACTAAAAACCAAATAGACCACGTGCTCATCGAAAAAGAGGAACAGCAATGTATAAAGAAGATAAGAACATACAGAGGACCAGACGCTGACTCAGATCACTACATGGTGGGTATCAAAATTAAGCAACTGATACCAGAAAACAAAAACAAAATAAATAAAAAGAAATGTATACATAACCCAATTCGATTAGCAACAAAAAAAGAGCAAGAAATATACGAGGAAACAATGGAAAGAGAACTAAAAAAGATACAAATAGAAGAGCAAACTGAGAACAAATGGAAAACATAAAGCAAATAATGAACAAAGCAGCAAAAGAATGTGATAAACAAGAGAATAAAAAGATGAAAGACTGGTTCGACATAGAGTGCCAAAAAGAAATAGAACTAAGAAAATCATTAAGGATGGAAATGATCACGAAAGAAACAATAGAGACAAAGAATAGATATAGGGAGCAAAGACAAAAAGTAAAGAGGGTGCTGAGAGAAAAGAAGAGAAAACACATAGAAACTAAGCTAAAAGAAATAGAAGAGAATTACAGAAATAAAAAAATAAAAAACCTGTATCAAGGTGCTAGAAATGAAAAAAAAGGTTTCCAACAAAAACCCATATTCGTTAAAAACAAAGCAGGAAATAATATAAGCGGGGAAGCAGAAATAGTCGAAAGATGGAAAGAGTATTTTGATGAATTACTAAATGGCAATAATAAGTCAAACCAAAGAGAATATATGCAAGCAGAAGCAAGAATTGAACACATAGACGACATAGAAGATAATTCACCCAGCAAAAAACAAATCGAGGAAATCATAAAAAATCTGAAAAACAACAAATCCCCTGGAAGTGATAACATAACAGCAGAGATGATGAAATATGGTGGAAAACTGCTAAATAATTGGATATGCAAGATCATAAAAGAGATATGGATAAAAGAACGAATACCAGAAGATTGGAAGGAAGCCATTATTTGTCCATTACACAAAAAAGGAGACAAAACAGAATGCAGTAATTACAGAGGAGTAGCGTTACTAAATACCATATATAAAATCCTATCAAAATCGATAAAAGATAAGCTGGAAAAAGAAGCTGAAAATATAATAGGCGAATACCAGTGTGGATTTAGACGAGGGAGAAGCACAACGGACCAAGTATTCATAATAAGAGAGTTACAAGCAGAAAGCTATGAACACAACTTACCAACGATAGCGCTATTCATCGACTTCCAGCAAGCATACGACAGAATAAAAAGGAAGAAATTAAAAGAGACCCTTGAGGAACTGGGAGTTAGCAGAAAGTTGCGTAACATGATACATCTTACTTTAGAGAATACAGAAAACAGAGTCAAAGTTAACAATCATGCATCGGACAAATTTATAGTAAAAGAAGGATTAAGGCAGGGCGATCCTTTGTCATCATTACTCTTCAATTTATGCCTAGAAAAAATAATGCGAGAAGCGAGAATTAATAGAGAAGGACTCCTATATCATAAAAGACACCAAGTTTTGGCATTTGCGGATGATATAGTGTTGCTGGCAAGAGGAAAAAAAGAGCTACAGGAGATAGTACAGAGAATAGTAAAAGCAGCAAAGAAAATGGGACTTTACATAAATGAAACTAAAACAAAATGTATGCAGTGGACAGATGATCAGTTTAGGGATGGACAAAAGTTTAAAGTAGAAGTAGAAGAAAGATTATCATACGAATTCGAAATAGTGGAAAGATTTACATACCTAGGTACAATAATATCACGTAAACCTAACATTAAAGAAGAAATACAAGCTAGAATAATGGCAGCCAATAGAAGTGTACATGCTCTTAGTGGAATGTTGAAAAGCAAGTTTTTATCAAGAAAGGCAAAAATACAGTTATACAAAACAACTATACAACCAATAGCAACATACTGCAGTGAGACGTGGACAATGACAAAAAATGAACAAAATCTACTGGAGATATGGGAAAGGAAAATCTTGAGGAAGATATATGGAGGAATAATAAGGGACGGTTTATGGATAAGAAGATCAAATGATGAATTAAAGAAATTATATAATCAACCTAACATAATAGGAGTCATAAAGGCACAGAGACTAAGATGGTGAGGTCACCTAGAAAGGATGCCAAACACGAGGACTCCAAAAAGGGTACTAAACTACAATATAACTTCAAAAAAGAGAAAAGGAAGGCCAAAAAATAGATGGAATCAGGAGGTAGAAAAAGATATGGAAGAAATTGGACTAGACGGCCAGAAAAGAAAAATGAATAACAAGAAGGAATGGAGAAAAGTCACATATCGAGCCAGAGAAGATCTCAGTACATAAAGGAAAGCGAAAATGAAGAAAGAACAAAATTCTTTAAGCCATGGGCCTCTAAGGCCTTTAGTGCTATTGTATATATATATACTTAATTTAAGCAATAATGAGATAAAAGATATCTAACCGTAGTAGTGAATTTGTTTACATACCTGTTGTTGGATTTTTCATTATAAATTTCATTTTCAATAGGAGCAAAAGTTTGGATAGAATTTTGCCGATACTTAAGTGAATTTTGTACAACTATTTTAGTTCTTGTCTTAAAAACACTCATTTTGCACTGGTAAATAGCTTATTTGAGAAAATTTGAGGATAGGAATTTGACAGAGAAAGTATGAAATACCTCCAATGTGCAGATATTATAATAGATAATAGCTCCAATGTGTTTTTTAAGCACATTGGATTTATTTCAGTCCAACAATTAATAATATGTTACATTGGAGTAATGCATTTTTATACATTAGGGAAGTTAGGAATCGGTATGCACATTGGATATTTTTCTAGACTGTAAAACTATTCATAGCGATTCAGAATCGTTTAAAATCTGAATTACTAGAAATTTGCACATTGGAGGTATTTCATTCCTAACGACGATATGCTTCAGACAAGCTAACAAAATAGAATATTAGGCCATGTTTATTCAAAATTTCAAATAGAATCCAATGAGACTCATAACTTGATAAATTTCTGTGTTTGGAAGAAATTTTTTATGAGAAAAATCTTGACATATCCCAATTCCACCAATGATACCTAAACAGTTACCTTTGGAAGTAATTTTTGTCGAAAGGAAAAGAGCTACTTATCTAGGGAATGCTTTCTAAAGCTACAGTTTGTTAGAACAGTGTGCAGCGCACAGCAGAATCTATTGTACCCGACTCACAGCAGTTTTGGGTGTTAGATTATTTTGTATAAATATCCTGTCACTCTGCAGAATATAGATGTGTACACAGCCATCAGTCTGCAGTGATAATTGATAATTTTCTAGTTGATAATTTTCTTTTTCTGCATCAGATACACCCAAAGAAAATGCAACTGTTGAGGATTCAAAACCAGCCGAGCCAGTCAGGAAATCGCGAAGATTGTCTACTGATGATAGAGCAAATACACCTGAACCTGTTAGGAAATCTAGGAGATTGTCCTCTGATGAAAAGGCAAATACTACAATTGACGACAAATCTGGTGAACCAGTTAGAAAATCATTAAGAAGAGTATCTGGAGATGAAAGGGATGAAGTAAGTATGGAAAGTTAAAAAAACTACAGAAGTAATATGTAAAAATGTCTAATTTCTTATATAGAAAAAGCTGCCATACAATCAACACAATTTAATACAATTTAGAATGTGTAGAATTTTATATTCAAAAGTTTTTTTTTTATCCAAACATATTGTTAAATTTTACATATGTATGTGTAAATATAAATCTTATATAATTCTTAATAATCCTATTTCTCCTGCTGTCATTATTTTAAATCTAGAAGGACAAGGCATAATTAATCAGATTTCATTAGCAGAGCACTGAGATTATGTTTTATTACTCTCCTGCAAAATTTACTTGAACAGACATACATGGTAGGTTACACATATTATTTCAAAAATAAAGTTTTACTGTGATTACAATGGACCAGTTTCTTTTTCAAAATATACAATTAAATTCACTTTCAACTGGTTGTATAGGCTTCGATTTTAAAGTCATATTTGTTGCAATTTACTTTGTTTAAGATACAATAGTTTAAGGGCCAATTGTTCAAACGCTAATCAAAACTTGATTGTAATCAAATATTTAATTACAATCAAATATGACACAGCTGTCATAATTATTAAAAACTGCTTATTAGTATTATTGATTTGTAAATAAATACATGAAATTAACATCAGAAAGAGTTTAGTTATGGTGTATTTTACATTAAAATACAAAATAATAAAATTGAATAAAATAAATCAGTAAGCATAACCACAAAATGTGACATTTTGATTTTAATTAAATATTTGATTACAATCAAGTTTTGATTAGCATTCAAACAATCGGCCCTATGACTTACAATATTTAAATAATGAAATTGACTCAGATAACATGTGTTTTAGTATTTAAGAAAAATTAATGTTAACAAACAACCTCAAATAAACTGTATAAATTCTGCTAGATCTTGTCTTTCTCCAAAACTTATGTATTTGACAATATTACTTTCTCACAATACTCAAGGAATTTAAAATTGCTAAATTTAGAGGAGAAATTTGTTGGTTATTTGCATCATATTTGAGATTTGTTTTTAGCATATATTTTTAAAAGTTACGGCATTCAATGTAAATACTCACAAATTATGAGTAATTTATGGTAAATAACATTTAGTGTGTATTTAAAAAAAATTATTGTATTTTAATTACTTTCAGACAAGATCAAGAAGAAGTACTGTGGTTTCAGAAAAGACAAAATTATCTGTCATAACTGAAAAAGTTGAAACACCATCAAAACGAAATCCTGCTGAAGCACCAAAGCCTGCAACAACTTCACCAAAAAAACCAGCAGATGAGAAGTCCGAAACATCTGCTACACCAGAAAAAAAGCCAGAAACAAGTAACACAGATATAAAACCACCAGTTTCTGTACCTGCTAAACCTGCAGTCAGCAGCACAGAAGATAAAGTACCTGCAAACAAAGCATCTGTATCACCCTCAACTCAGGCTAAAACTCCAGAAAAATCAACACCTGTAAACAAAGCATCTGTATCACCCTCAACTCAGGCTAAAACTCCAGAAAAATCAACACCTGTAAACAAAGCATCTGTATCACCTACAACTCAGGCTAAAACACCAGAAAAACCAGCACCTGTTACCAAGACTCCAGAAAAACTTACAGCATCTCAAGGAGTGGTAAAAGTGGAAAAACCTACAACACCCGTTAAGTCACCAGAAAAGCCTGTGGCTAAAACTCCAGATAAACCTGTTGCAGTTAAAGTGGAAAAACCTGCAACACCAGTTAAATCTCCACAGAAACCTGTTATTGTTAAACCAGAAAAACATGCTGAGATTAAAGTAGAAAAACCCACTACACCAGTTAAGTCACCAGAAAAACCTGTTCCTGCAACTGCAAAATCAGCAGAAAAACCTGTACAGAAAAATGCACTAGAAAAACCTGCGACTGTAACGCAAGCATCAGAAAAAATTCAAGGAACAGAAAAATCTATTTCAACAGCAAACAAACCGTCTGCAATTGCTTCTAAGGTGAATGATAAATTAGTTGCTGAAAAAAATGTCAATAAAACACAAGAAAAACCTAATGTGGCTACAAAAACCATAGAAAAAAGTCAGCCTACACCTAAACCACCAATAGAGAGTAAAACTGAAAAATCTGCTTCTGTTCCAAGCAAGTTGCCAGAAAAGGAAGTAGCTGCAGAAACATCTGAGAAACCTGAAAAAACACCAGAAAAAGTTGTTAAAACGCAAGAAAAACTTGATGATGCGCTGAAGTCTATAGAGAAGGAAAAGTCATCCAAAGGTGAAGAACAACCTAATGATAAACTAGATGAAGAGAATGGAGAACAGGTATTATTTAATATTTACTAATTTAAGTACAATCTATCATTTATAATAATAAACTAAAATATCCTAATAAAAGTGTTTTTAGATCCTCTATTCTTCATTTTATTTGTTCTTACATATTTTTGAACCAGCATCTTCTAATTCATTTTACATGTTATATGCTCAATATTTTTGCCTTCATTTTTATTTTTGTGCTTTATTTTTCCCAACCTGGGCATCCAGGCTTGGTAAGCCAGTGCCAGTAGTCAGATAGCCCCTGAGCCAGTATCAATTAAAAGAATATGTATTGTCAAAGAGTTGTTTTGTGTGTATATAAATAGGAGATGATTTTGAATCTATTATGATTTTATGTGCTGTACATATAGCAAGATTATCTTATCAATGACAAGTGGTTATCATAATCAATTAATTCCTAATCAAGTGTGTAAAATGTTCTTATTCATTACAATATTAGCAATCAGTTTACATTTGTAAATTTGTTCAGGTTTTAATATTTTATATATTAATTTTTAGGCAGATAAAGAAACTCCCATGGAAGTACAGGACGGATCAAAATCTCCTACAAAATCAGATGTCAGAAAATCTAAAACACATGAAAATGACAAAAGAAGCCACAAAAGAAGACGAAGTAGTAACTCACCAGAAAGCAAAAAAGATGAAAAACGAAGACGTGGTGGGTCTCCATCTCGAGATGGTAGGAGAGCAAGGTCGCCACCCAAAGAAGATGAGCCTGCATTTGATGCAGATACAGTTCAGCTTAGTTGGTGTAAGTATATATTTTATAATGTTGTTCAAGATATATTCAGTTTTCCTTCTATAAGTTCCTTTTTTTATTATTAAATTGTATGAATTAATGGAATCATATTTTTACACAAATCACAAGTTTTAAAGTAATCACATGTTCCAACTATCAGTAGATAATGGCATACAAGCACAAATGCATTAGGTTTCTGCCCTTTTTAGAATTATCATGTTTTTGTTGAACTAAGCTGGATATTCTTAAAACTAAGGTCGTTATTTTTACTTATCATACATCAATGATTCAACAAGATATTGCCAAGTAATGTAGTGTAAATTTAAACATAGACATATAATACCTAGACTTCGCCAGGCAATCTAAAACTGTTCTATCATCTGATATCTTCTTCATCCATTGAAACATATGCTGTGTATTTGTATAATAATATATTAGTAGATGATTAGAAAGCTATGCTTCTCCTCCTAAGTAGCTCCCGGAGTACCTCATCCTGTTTTATTAAACATAATATTGATTAATATTAAATTAATAATAAAAAAAATTAGTAGAACATACAAACCTTGATTATCCCTGTCTGAAATCAAAGACAATACCCTGTGCTGCCACTCGACTTGTCATGAAACATTTTACTGACACCTCACTTATATTTAGAGATTCTTTGGTAGTGGGAAGGTCATGTGGTCTATAAACCCCGCTTATTAGAAACAGTTTTAGATTGCAACACATAGTCTACGTATTATATGTCATAAGGCTGTAAACCAGATTTTCTAACTAAAAAGACATTAGTACAATTCAACCCCTCATTTCAAAAAAGGTTTAATTCACACTTTTTTAAAATATTTATTTTTGGTGTCATTTTATCTTTTGAAGTTTTTTTAAAGTCAAACAAAAATTGAATTGTTGGTTATTCCTACAAGTATTGTAGATAACATTAAATACGCTCATTTTGATGTTATCTTATGATCTTAAATGATGTGGATATAGTCTATGATGATCACTGAAATATGAAGTTAGAACTCATGGCTTGCCTTTGTAATCTTGGTAGGAAGTGATACAAGCTTTCGACTGTAAATCCAAAGGTACATAATTCTCCATCAATGATTTCGATTAGACTCGCATTGGTGTTCACAGTGTCAAATAAAAACTTTTGAGTTTTAGTTTTTGGTGCTCTGTGATAACATTATATATAAGATATATCATATTATTTTACCAATGGATTTAAGAAATTATTTGGTTTATAACTGAGTAAAAATTTTAAATGCATTGGTACAATAGTTGTTTATCTTAGTAGTTTTAAGCAGTGAGTTTGAAATGATATTTCTTTAGTAATCTGAGGCAAAAAGCGAATTAATAATGTGTATATATCACACAAAACCACCAAAAGTTTTTGCAAAATCATATTTTTATTTATCATTAGCCATATGTTGTCATTAATTAAAATTTTTTGTTATAGTTGATTCCGATCTTAATCTTGAGGTAGACAAAGGGACATTTTTGTCAGCAAAACCTTTAACGGATGGTGTTTTCAGTTATGTGTGGGCAGGTGCCAGAGCCACACATGGTGTGTCCAATGGAAAGGTTTGCTATGAAGTAAAAATTACAGAGAAACTTAAGTTTGACAACTCTGAATTAGAGAGATCTCATAGGGACCACAGAAGGGAAAGGGCAAACAAATCTGATAATGAGGAAAAACATGAAAGAGATCGATCGCGTGAAAAAAAGGAGAATAACACAGAAAAAGATAATATTAGTGAAAATAAAGAGGCTAGCTTAGACAATAAGGAAGAGCCCATGGAAGTTACTGAGAGTGAAAATGTAGAAAGCAAAGAATCTGCAGCTGAAAAACCATCGGAAAGTACCGATAAACCTCAAGAACCCAAAGGAGAAGAAAATTTGGATGAGAAGTCAAACAAAGAAACTGATGAAAAGCCAATGGAAGAAGATGACAAAGATGATAAAAGTAATGAAAAATCAGATGCTACCGTTATTCCAACACACTGTGTTAGGATAGGATGGTCACTATCAAGTTCTTCATTACAATTAGGTGAAGATAAACATTCATTTGGCTATGATTCATCTGGAAAATTCGTTACAGATAAGAAATTTTCCGATTATGGAGTAACTTTTGATACTGATGCTGTAATTGGGGCTTACCTGGTAATATATTAAAGGGATATATAATGCACATATATTTATTTTATGTATTTTTTAGGATATTACAGAATCTTCCATAATTCTTCGATTTTCTGTTAACGGAGAACTACTACCTCCTACTGAAATATCCAAGTCAGAAATGCCTGAAAATTTTGTATTCTACCCACACATTGTTTCTAGAAATTATGCATTTGAAGTTAACTTTGGGGAGAAGGCAGAACCTTGGTTTACAATTCCGTCAGAACTTACAGATTATAAGTTCATTAGCAAAGCTGAAAATAAAGTTTCTGGACCCACAAGACCAGAAGCTAAATCAGAATGTGAGGTATGTTTTCATCATTTATTTTGTAATCACACAATGTTTGTATGTCATACTGTATTAATTTATAAGATCTCTCAACTCCGCCCAGTCTTCAACTATATCGAATATTTAAAGAATTTACATATTATTCTTATTTTGCATAGCCTTTCGGTGATAGGTTGGAAGTCTATTAATTATAAGGTGTTTCACTCTTTTATTGACTATGTAGCCCGTTTCTATTTTATGTAATATTGGGTGGCAGTTATAATATATTGTCAAATTACTTTCTTCAAAAATTTTCTTTCCCATCTCATTTCCTGAAGACTAATTATTCGATATATTTCTAGCTTGTCAATAAGTGTCTGTTATGGTGTAGGGGTGTTAACCCTACGCCCAACCCCCAACCTAGAGGGCCAACATTTTCTGTCAGGGTTTGTTTGCTTAGTCCGGGAAGTATTTTATTTCCTCCCAACTCACTGGTCATACCAGTGAGTATATTCCTCTATCTGCCACCTGGGGCAAATGGAGTCTGAGGCGCCTGATGGAGTAACTGACAAAAACTCTCCAGACAAATTGTAAAACACTGATGTAAACATCTGAACTTGTAATAATTTCTATACAAACAGTGAGTAATTGTTCAACTAAATATGATTAGACTGTAGAAAAATGCGAGTTGTTCTGTTACAAGAGAGCATTTGTTTTGCAACTGATTGTGTTGAGTTTATAGAGGAGTGAAGCAACATGGCCCAGAAGTATATTCTAATTTAGCTGATTCATGGAATGCCTCAGAGAATGGAACCAATGTGGGCAATGTCCTATATTAACAAATGAGTTTATTTTTTTCATATTCAATCATGGTTAGTTTTACATTTCTGGTAGTAATATTTCAATATGATCTGAAATCAGCCAAATTTTTTTGTTATAGCAGATCTATTGCACCCCTAAAAAGTTATTTGTGGGTTGTTAGTTACTGGTTACTATGTCAAAGACATGTGGCATTTTTAGAGCATACTCATCATCATCATCATTTTGGCTTTACAACCCTGTGTGGGTCCTAGCCTCCCCAAGATTTTTTTCCAGTCGTCCCTATCCATCGCCTTCCTCTGCCAAGTAAGTATTTCCATGGTTCCTGGTATATTCTATAGAGCATACTACTGTTGCATAATATCACAATGCGATATTAGGCCAATTCACAAATCAAATGGTGATTATGAATATCAAAATGGCTATTTTTAATATTCTGGTTAAAATGGATAAATTTTTTGTTTGATTATAGCTGGTTTATTTCATTATTTGTTTTATTTTAGGTACTTTTAATGTTTGGTTTGCCTGCTTCTGGTAAAACTCATTGGGTCAATGAACACATAGCAGAGAATAAGGAGAAGAAATATACAGTAATAGGAAACACCACCATGCTAGAAAGAATGACAGTAAGTATGAGAATTATTTAGCCATATATTTTATTTCACAGTCTATTACAAATTTCTTGGATCAAATTTTAAACTAAAATTTCTATCGTTTGTGTTTACTTAAAATGAAAGAACACAAGATTAACCATATGTGTTGCGCATATACTGTTTCTGATATATATGTATTATATACTTTGTTATAATTGTGCCTTCTATGTCCATATAGTGCTCAAAAGAAAACTCTCAAAACATAATAAATAATACTGTATCTCCAGACAAATACTGGCCTTACATGTTTGATATTTTGGATTTTATTTCCTGTACTGTATGTCAAGGATAGCACTAGACGTGAGCTGCACACAAACCAGAGGAGGGATGCAGAATTCGTTTGTGGCTTAGATACGCGGTTTTTATGGTTCCTATAAATGTTGACTGACCGATAATTCTTCAACAAATCTGTTATATGACGTTCAACTGTTTAGAATTTTATTTTTGAAGAATTTTTCTGCCTCTTATTAGCAGTAACCAAACGGCATCAGTTATGTTAGTAGGTGAATGGTTTCTATTGTTGATTTTCCCTTTCTGTATAACTTGGCAATAACTTGGTATTGCTCTACTGTATTTTCTGTGTATTTATCTATTCTATATATAACTAAATTATATCTTTTAGGTATTTGGAGAGCCGTTTAAATCCAAATACAAAGGCAAATGGCGTATCCTAATAGACAGAATGCAGCGGTGTATAAATCGATTATTAACTACAGCACCTACACGAAGAAGAAACTACATTATCGATCAGGTAAGATTTCCTTTAAAAACTATAATGGTCTTAAAATTAGTCAGCTAAACTTACAAGTAAGTATATAGCTTAAAAGTTAAATTCTGCAGATGTAAGTATATTTCCAAGATGTCAATCATCATCATTCACAGGTAATGTATTCTTTATCTTATAAAATTTGTAGATAATACTTTTAATATGTTAATGACATTTGTAGGAAAATCACGCTGGTATGGCGTTTTTGATAATCAGTACATAATCCTTGTAAAATGTTCAGAACAATTTTACTGCCACGGTAATTTAGGGATTATCATTTACAGTTATCAAAAACTTTTTGTTAAATATTCATTTTTGTTTTCCTAATGTTGGTTGCAGATTAACTTGAAATTTAATATTGATTAGGCACTTCGACCTTTATAAATTGCCATTCTATTTAGTAGAATTTTTCCTCATATATAAAACATCGAAAAAAAAAAATATTAAAAATTGGATACTACAACAGAAACTGCAGAAATATTTTAGTTCTTTCGTTTACCTAGAGTTTCATACTGATCTTTAGGTAATGGACATATTACACTGAAGATACCATTTCTTCACCATTCAATCTCTGGTGCAGATAGTACTTAGACTAATTGTTATTCCATTTAGGGATGATTTTTCACAATTATTACTATTTTTCATTATCATTTACTTTTCTATCCATCTATTAATCAGCTCACCACTTCAGATTAAACTTGTTTTCTTGGAATTCTATCTTATAAACCTTTTTTCGTCAATTCTTTTGAAATATAATAAAGCAACAAAAAACAATAGTCAACACTCGACAGTAGCTTTTTTAAACTAGATTTTATTTAAATAATCTGATGATCCAATCTTAATGTTCACCAACGATTCAAAAAGATAGAAGATAGAGATATATATCTATCAGTTCCTCGTTTACCTTCAATTTTTCCTTTTATATTTAACTGTGAAAAGCTTCCACATATCAGCTTCTTTGTTTCATTTATTTTAAAAAGTATAAATAAATTATAAAGTAAAGTATAGAGTATAAAATTATAATTTAAATAGAAGAGTATATGATTCATCAGAATCGTTAAGACATTTTGCCGTTTGTTTAATAATTAAACAAATTGATTTTTTATCCAAAAATACAAATATGTATTGAAGGATTCAAGTTACTGCAACTCATGCATTACTTTCTATAATATCTCCGAAAATATAGGATACAGGTTGCAATTGACAGCTTTATAAATAATCAAACTACATTGAAGCTGTACTAATATTTGTACCCTAAAAGAGTATCATTTTTACCATTAGGAACATGTTTATGTTCACGCCGATCTTCTGCTTTTGACATATTAAAAGTGATGCTGTACACTTTGCATGCGGTATAATAAAAATGTATCTTAACTCTAAGAGTATTTGAAAATGGTTAAGTTTACATAGGCTTCCTTTTATTGTCGTTTGTTAGGCGCGGATATTTTTTTAATAATGACGAGAAGAAGAGCTTTGGCAGATCCTATATGGACGAAGAAGATCAGTTTTAGAAATTGTAGAAATTTATCTTGTTGTATTGTATTGTAACATTTCCAATGACAGTTAACTAAGTTAAAAGGATTATCACGTGTACTGAGAAGCCACGAAAAGTCTGTAAAGGTAATAAATCATTTTATAAAACTGGATTTAATGACACCATAAATTTCTCAGAACAGAATGATTATTTTGATAGATGTATCGATTTATATAGCGTTTAAATAATTAAAAACTTGCTGATGTGAGTCCATACCGATTATATGTGGGCAAATATAATTCATACCATTCGAATAATTGTGAAATCCAATTTGGATTGAGAGTATTTGTCAACATATAGTTAGATAAAGCGTTCTATAGATAACTTATTGTTAAATTGTTCATTACTATTGATGGAAAGATATCAAGAGTGTTCAAATTGTTACATCGCTAAAAAACTGAGCAAGTCAGATCTACAATATACAGTGGTACCTCGAGATATAAGTGTAATTCGTTCCGTAATCTTGCTCGTATGTCAAATTGCTTGTATGTTAAGGCAATTTTCCCCATTGAAATTAAATGAAATGTCATGAAATGTCATTAATGTCCAGTCCCCCAAAAAAAAAACACATTAGTTCTTTTTGTTAAGTGTTTTTAAATAAGAAAAATGTATTTAAAAGAAGAAACATTTATTAATAAATAACAAAAATACATACATATTTTGTAAAAACATAAAAAGTGAAGTGTTTACGAAAACGCTTAATTTTCGTCAGTGGTCTTCGCTTTTTTCGTCACACTTTGCTCATGTTCATCTGTAGATCGTTTAAAAAAACTGCCCAAAGAGGATTGTGATTCACTTTTGTACCATAGTTTATATCTTCAGATCTTGTCAATTGCAACCTGTACCTATTTACATTTAAGTGGATTATCTCAAAAATATTATCTTCGCAGATGTAATTAAGAATATAAACAAAATTTGGAATATCTATTATTAACAAATGTATTGTGGAATATATTAAAGTATAGTTCCTGTTTATTGAAATCAAGAAATATTACACGGACATGTACTATAATGTACCCTGCCATAACAACAAAAACTTGTTGGTATGTATTTAAGATTAACATATACCAAAATTAAAATGAAATGCTTATGTGTATTGAGACAGGGACTTCTTGTAAAAATTGTTAAAGAAACTACTCAGTTAATATATAATAGACTATTTTTTTTTACAACAAACATACGATTTTTTACATATAAAATATGTCAATACTACCATCCAAACGGCAAACGTGATAGAAGGTATAAAATATATAAAGTTGTATTAATAACTTAGGAAGAAAAAGTTTGATTGTTGAAAACTATAAAACACTCTAAAAACTCTTTGTCGTTGATGACACGTAGTTAGAATACTGTTCACTGTATATTATATAACAACAACATTATATGTCATTTATACAAAATAAATCTGGGTTCTAAAGGTGGATCCGTGCTGTGTCCGTTCCGTGTCAGTGCCGAGTCCGGGTATTTTTAATATCATATTTACATACAACCGCGTTGGAGCAGAAACGAAGAAAATTGAGTGCATGGAGGCATAATATGTGGACAAAAAGACAAACCGAAAGATAATTTAAAATATACAGAGAATTATTGGACGATGAAGTAAAATTTCACGAATATTTTAGAATGTCGCAGTACTCTTTTTTTCTTTTTCTTTTTGCTATAATACATTATATAAAAAACCATAACATACTAACCGCACAACATCTCCTGTTTGTCTGTTTACCAGCACTCGCGTTCACAAAACAAAATCGTGTTTATACAAGTCCGTGCGGTTCGTGTCATTTCCGTGCATCGCCAGTGCCGGAAACAAAAATATCGTTTGGGATTAATTTCAAGCCGGGCACGTAGGGGGACTTCGTTTGTACATTGTTTTTTTTGCTGCGCACTGTCACAACACGGAACGGACACGGCACGAATATGTATAAATCGACCTTTATCCTACCAAAATGTAAACAAGAATTTTATTAATTAGAAAGGCAAATGCACATAGAATCTGAAGACAACAAACAAGATTATTATTGTACGAATTAATATTAAACACATTACTCCCCGGAATCTTAATCAGATTTATATATTTAAAATATTTTTTTTCAATATAAATAAATTTGGTAGTAAAAAAACTGGCTGTTGGGTTTCGCCTTTGTGTTGTTTTAATAAAATATACATGTCTTGATATGTGGCCAATTAAACAAACAATGAACTATTACGAGAATTAATAATAATTAAATTAATATCAACAATATTTCCTTCGATAGTCCTGGCGAGATAAATGAACTTTTTGCAATAAACAATCAAAACAATTTATATATTCAGGTACAACTAGCATGGTTTACCGCTAATTGAAGCTAATTACCATGGTTTACACTACTTTACGAAACAACGAACAAAACGAATTCAATATGAGTGCGTTGGTTCACTGTCGGGTTGCGTCTGTCCCTCTTAGCGAGATTCATTCCCCGAGCCCGAGCAGTATTATAGGGATAGTAGGAATACAGGGAGGACAAATGTATTGATTAGTTTACGCAACCATATTTGAATTTATACGGTATTTTATGCTCATAAATACTCAAACTATTAAAAATGTCCATTTCTATAGTGTACCAAACTTGTATTATCTGCATATGTATTAACATAATATCCGACACATTGAGCTTTTTATCAAAAACATATATTTAAAGAATTATAAATATCATGTAAATTAAGGATGACATTTTTGGGATAATCAACATAGAATTCTTCCTTGTCAACGAAAAGTTTTTGTTAACTGGTTGAGGTTATATTTTTTATATATAAATGATCGTTTGAGAACATTATTATAATACTGAGGCTTGTGGCAGAGTAACGTGTTTGCATCAGCCCAAAGCCGTAAAATGCGGCCGTTTGAGGGCTTCAAGAGAAAAGCAGTCATAATTATAGTTGGAGATGAAGAACAGACTAAGCGACAAGCGTTGCAAGAGGAACAGGAGGGTAAAGAGATCCTTGACAGTACAATACTTGGAATGAAAGGTATATTTTTGTTAATTAGATATTAAGATATTTTTATATTTTAACTTTTCAGATTAAAATAGTGCATTTCGGTAGGTTATATGTTTAAAAGTAGTCAACAGGTTGTTGAGGTTTACAGTGATTAGTATAAACATTTTTCTTCTTTTATTATTACGTTATCATATAATATGAAACACATGACTATGATTGTGGTTGAAGACAAAACGAAATGTAACGGTTTAAAGGGTATCTTAGCTGTAATGGTTCTTCCAATACTAGATAACAGTTATGGATTCTTACTATTTCTCGGTTATTTCTTGTCTTTACTAATAGTTCTGTGGTTCTTGTGCCGAGTCTTCCTTATTTCTCCTATTTTGTTTGGTTTATTTACATTTGTTAAAATGCATTTGACCTCCCATTCTATTTATCTGCCTTTATATATTATATGATGCATGTGCAGTTATTTCCAGTTTTTTTATCAAATTTATAAGCTTATATTTCTGAGGTGTAATTGTTATTAGTTCTTTGTATATTTCTGGTATCATCATTCAAAATTCTTTTCTTTATATCGTTTACTTCTATTTCTTTGATCTTATTTAATATTTTTGTCGCTATTCGACTTTTATCTCAATTGTTTTGGTCAGTTTCTCGTCATTTTTTATATGTACGCTTCTGATTTAGTTTGACTTAATCTTTTGAACTTCTATCTTGATTTTTATTTATTGTATTCTATTTATTAATTTCATTTATGAGACCGTTTAAGGCAATAATAAACCAAAACACAGTTTAACTATACAAATTATAAAAGACTTTTTTTTATGAATTTAATTTTAGAAAATTCAAAATCATGACTCTCTTGAAAATTGCACTGTTTTAATCTTATCTCCTTATTAGAAAATGTTTATTTTATTGATTAATTTTTAAATTTACTATTGTTTTTATAGGTATATTTGTTTTAAATGATTTGAAGTACCTTTGGAAATCACAAGCTTTGGTTATGGAAATCACAAAGGTCTTCAATTTTTGTTTTAATTTTAAGTTTGATCCTCATAAATATTGCCCATTGCTACCCAAACAGTTTTAATATTGATAGATTGTATTTCTCATGTATTGAAGTCTTTTGTTCTTATTCAAATCAAAATATTTGATTTTCATTTTGATTCAATCTTTCCAGCATTAAAATATTGTTCATCCGATTCTTTTTTAAATTATATTTCTACGAGGTATGATAATCAAAGCATGAGACAGACGCTGCTCCAACAGAAATAGCATGCGTCCAGCGTTGCCAGGACTGTCAAAATTACTGTACTGTCAGAAGTTGAAAAAAAGTATATAGTTATACAAGTTTACGTCGCGCTGACAACGCGGACCAAGTAATCTCAATGCGAAGCGACTACAGTCACGTATAACTTGCGGACTTTGCCAAAATTACAAAACCACTTATTATATGTCTTAAAAATGATGCAAAAATTGAACACACCGAAGAATTCTTAAACTGTATCAAAACCTGTAAAAGCTTATTGATTAATGAACCACTTCTGCAATATCCAAACTTCGCTAAACCCTTCAGCCTTACTACTGATGCAAGCAACTTCGCTATAGGAGCCATCCTATCACAAAGTCCAATAGGAAACGATAAACCCTTCGCTTATGCATCCAGAACTTTAAATGAAACTGAACTTAAATATTTGATCATCGACCACTACAATGGCTGTTTTCACTTAAAGACCTAAACTCAAAGACGATGATATCTCTATGATTAATCACCACGGTTCTGTATCCGAAGAATCTAGAAGAATTTCTAACCGATCGAGCCGAAGAGTCTCAACAAATTTCGAATCCATCAACCCCTTTATGCGACTTAGACAAAATCGTCCAAAAAAAAATCAAACTGCAATGTTAACTCCCGATGAAAAGAAAATAATAGACGAAATCCTACATGAATATAACAAACAGTAAACATCTAAATCTCCGGCATCAAACTCTCAATACTAACGATACAGATGTAACCAAACATTCCACGACAGAAAATCCAATAATGGGAATTCCAATTAGCGAGAAACCACTAAATTGTTACAATAATCAAATAATTTTCAAGATAGTAAATTACAACCCGGCGAAACCACTCACAGAGCAATATTTTGTAACAAATAGGAGAATGTATGTCCAATTACAACAATATACAAAAAAATATGCAGCATCTGTTTTTCGCAGCACTGGTTCTCTTCAAAAAAGACTCCCAGCACTGGTTTGAACAATGAAAGATTCAAATTTACATAATACTCTGTATTCTTCCTTTTCGTGGGTTGGTAAATATTTTGAGATATTTTCTCCACTTAACTTATGTCTAATTTTTTGAATGGATGGCTGAGTAACAGCAAAGTTTAGATCCTTTGACGGAGAATTTAATATTGTCAAAGGGTCTAAACTTTGCTGTTACTCTGCCATCCATTCTAAAATTAGACATAATAAGTTCAGTGGAGAAAATGAATGATTCGCAAGGAACATTGTAGAGATATAGTAAGGGTGTAGGTGATAATAAGTATATATGAATGGAATCAAAATATAATGTTTTGCAGCGTCTTTCTCGTTTTTTAATTGTCATACTTTATAGTAGGTATTTACATTTGCTCATTCCAAAAAGATATTCAAGTTCCTTGACTATTGTTTCTCTACTCTCTTGCTAGCTGCCACTTGTTGCTCATTTCTCGGCTATCACCTAGAATCCATAGAATTTTATTTTGACGCAGTTCTTTATTTTGTTCCTTTCAGTAGGTTATTAGGATTTTAAAACTTTGTCCTGGTGCATTTTGAGGATTTTTTGTCGAATGGTATTGATAATATAAGAAAACATTCTCCAAAATTGAATTACCTTTTCACATAATTTATTTTATTCATTTATATTTTAGTGTGTTGTCATTTATATTGTTTGTAAGCTTTTACGGATTTTCGTCGTTTTCATTTATATTATTTGATTGTTTGTTCTTTTAAGATTCATAACGTTTGTTTTTGGAATTATCACAAGTATGTTTTGTCTTTTGACTATTAATTTTTTTTTTCATATTTTTTGGAAAAATTGTTATAAAAATAATAAAAAAGTTATAATATTTTTGTTTATAGATTATGTAAAGTAGAATGGTTTTATTTTGATGCATTTGAAGTAAATGTTGAACTGATTGTTAGTTTAACAAAAGAGTTTTACAAAAAGTTTGGTCATAAATTATTTTTAAGGGTGAAATTAAGTCGATTTGTCCTAACATACCTATAGGCAGACGAATATCAGCTACTTTTGGAATATACCTTGTTATATTTAATATCGTCTTTAAAACCTTCATTATATGTGCTGAAGGTGATAACGAAAACAGCTATTTACAGCTCTGGAAGGTTGAATCAAGAAAGTGCAATGGCGGAATAATTTCATATATATTTTTATGACTATTGTACTGGAGGTAGGATCTGAAAAAGTTATAAGAAACCCAATATATATGACTAATACATCCTGGTAGAGCAAACATACAGAACATAGATTTGGACTCAATGAAACAGAGTCAAGGTCAACAATTTTCCTTCTCAGACAAACCTTAGAAAGACACAGAATATGGAATTGATACCCACTACCTCTTCATAGATTTTAAAAGCACTTATGACATTGAGGATAATGGGACTGCAATGGTGACAAAGGTCACGAACAGCACACAAATAGCGACACCACAAGATCTGGTGACAGAAGCACACACATTCGAAGGAGTCTCGAAGTTTATATAATATCTTGGAACTAGTAACGGGAATTTCGGGTCATCTTTGGGATTCGGGTCACCGGTTCTGGTTCACTTAAGAGAACCGGATCACTTTGTCGTGTTGTTGTTTTGAGTTGTATCAATGCTATGAAAAATGTAACATCGTCCGGTCTATTAAAATTAATAGACTAAGGTGGCTAAGACACCTTGACAGAATGGACACTGGAGACCCCCAAAGTTAGATATTCTATCAAGAGCTAGTAGGAACCAGGAAGAGAGGCAGGCCAAGATCTAAATTCAAAACTCAAGTCGAAGATGACTTGAGGAATTTAGGGATCAGAAATTGGAAAGCCAGGGCGAAAGATAGGGGGGAATGGAGACTAATTCTTGAACAGGTCAAGACCCACCCAGGGTTGTAGAGCCAAAGATGATGATGAAACAAATTGGATGCTGGCAAGGACAATTGAAATATTCATATAATTGACAGTGGTCTACTAAAAGGCTTTAAGTCCTGTTAAAGCTTGTTTGATTTTTAATATATTTTAGCTATCTTCGGACGAAATCTTTATCATTAATATCACTTTAAAATAATCATTCAGTGTATTAAGAGCGTGCATCAAAATAAAACTGAATATGTATAAAGTTGAATTTATCAAATATGTTAAATTTTAGCCAATATGACATTACCTGAACCTGGAGATTATATAGAGGAAATTTGTTATGTGTCTATGGAAGAAAAAGAAGCTAAAGAAATTGTTAAAAAGTACCACGAAGAGGGAAAAGCAGCATTAAAAGATGATAAGAGGGACAGAGACCGATCTAATTACAGTGAGTTTATTTTTTATCGTGATGCTTGTATTATTTATTTTATGTTTTACCATCAAGTACCCAACATAAGAGTTATCTCATCTTGTTTTGAATGATGTTCCCGATTTTTCTACCTAATTAATCGTAACTCATTCCTTAGTTCACCTTGTTTACTTGGAAATATATTAATATTACATATTTAAATCAAACGTCATATTTTTTGGTCTTAATCAATTACATCCTAAACTTCTCTCACCATAACTTCTATGCCGTCAAAAGAGACAGGTGTTGGTCAAGCGGTTCTGTTGCGTTTTCCATACGTTTTTTAAATATTTCCTTGGAGTAAATAATAAAGAGGATTGGGGATAAGATACACCCATGTCGGACACTTCTTTTGATCTCCACACTTTCAGTAAATAGATTGCCTATTTTTGCTCTTGCTATTTGACCCCAGTATAGGTTTGCAGCAATATGAATATCATTTTCTTCAATGCGTGTCTTTCGTAGGATATCTATTAGTTGTTCATTGAAATTGTCAAATGCTTTTTTAAAATCCACAAAGCACAACTACAGATTCTTATTAATGTATTTACACCGCAGTATAAGTACCTGGAGAACAAAAACTGATTCTCTAGTTCCAAGAGCTTTCCAGAAGCCAAACTATGATCTATCGATACTTGACTGACATTTATTTTAATATATTCTTATATGAATGATTTTGGTGAGCTCTTGTTATCTTGAATGTCGACTGTTCCAGGATTCTCCACTATTATATATGTTGTTAAAAAGTGAAACTAGATTATCAAGAATTGTTTGTCTGGTTTACATAGAATCTTTATTATTCCCAGTGTACATTGTCCAATTGTCCATTCCACCTTATTTTTTAGTGCTACAACGGCATCTGCTAAATAATATAGCAAATAATGTTTCTAGATTATTTCTATTCTATTTCTAGAATTAGAATTGCCATGTTTCTGATCCTTGATGACTCAGAGATAAAATTTCTATCAGTATCTTTTATGCTGTGGGGTGCCTTATTGAATTTGTGCTTGCTTGTTATTGATTCTATTTTTTTTGTGCATATTGGAATTTTCGTATTTACGTTTGTACTGTTCTATTTCCCGGCATTCATTGGAAAACCATTTTTCATTTAAAAATCCTGAAATTAAAAATTATGAAATGATGTTAACCTGGGTTAATAAAATCAACCACTTTTATAAGTGTGAATCATTTGAGCAAGCATTTGAATAATTTTCAGACCTAACGTTTGTCGTTACTTTATTTTTAAATGCCATAGCGAATTATTTTTTCGTTCATTATGTTGAAGTGGTTTATCAAAAAATAGTACTGCTGATAGTCATGTAAGTTCCAACTTAATTAGTCGTTAAAATTTCTAGTTTTCTATGTTATATTTTATAGGAAATCAAGGCAGGAATTTCCAAAGGTCAAGTGGTTATAACCAGTCCCATTCCTATGATAGAAGAAATTGGCAATCCTCCAGAAGAGATGATTGGAAATATGATCAAAGATCACGAGATTACAGAGGTAAGATGAATATTTTTGCACTTTTACTATTTATACCTAAATGTTACATTCATCATGAATACTTATAAAATCGTATTAGATACTAGTCAATGAAAATAAATCAATGCTTTTTAAGGTGGTAGTTACGATCAAAGATCAAGAGATCACTACAGCCAAGGAGGTTATGACAGGTATCGTAGTAGTGGTAGATCAGACAATTGGGGAGGCAATAGTTATTCAGGCCGAAGTCACTCTGGTGGTTGGAATCAGCAAACTTTTGGCAGTAGAAGTCATGGTCAACCCTGGGGAAATCAAGGCTATAGTTCAAATTCAGGAAGCAGCCACCAGAGACACGGATATGGAGGAAATTGGAATTATGGACATAGTAACTGGAACCAGGTAGGACAGTATTTGTAAAAATTCGACAATATCGAGCTAGTATCCATTTCTTTTTTCTAATTTCTGTTCTGATGCTATTATTTTCTTTTGTCATTTGCACTACATATATATAATTTCATCTTTTGGACTTTGATATCAGTTATTCCAGTAGTTGAAAACATATAGATTGAGCCATTAAAATGGGACCAAATTAACTCGGTATGTTCAGAAACCAAACGTAATAATATTTTAGTTTATAAGCATGAGTTTTAGGGTCTAAGATTGCTCGTGTCTGAGTTAGATTAAAATATATATTTGTTCATAAACCAGCGAATTTTACGAATGCGCCAAAATTTTTAAATTTTAGTTAACATGTAAATTGCGCCAAATAATACTAAATAACTGCATAAATGTCGAACAGTCTTTCACCGTTTTGCTTTCAAATGTGTATATACCTAATTGAAACAAAATTCATAAAAAAACGTTTAAATAGCTCATAGTGTGATTATGTCTCTACTTAAGATCCTACGCGGTCAATGCTTAGTCTCACCGTCCGATGGCGCCACTATCGGAAAGAAATTTAATATCGTAGTACATTCTCGTAGACGGCTAATGTCAATAATTTCAGCTGCGTGTGGGAGCAGAAATATTCGCGGATTAAACTCATTAGCATAAAAATTATTTATATTCATATTTACTGGGTGTTATTACTTTTGTTACTGGGCAGTATATTTTGAAAACAGTACTTTGAAAGTTAAACAAGTATACTTTTTGAAGTGAATACTAATAAAATTATCGTTCGGTATGATGTTTTGCGCCTGAATTGCATGAATCCTTGCGGTATCTTCTTCTTCTTATGGTGCCCTATCCAATTAGTGGATGTTGGCGACAATTCTGGCATACTTCTGTCGATCTTGTGTGGCTCTAAAGAGTGTATGGGCATTGAGGTTTGTCCATTCCCTTATGTTTTTAAGCCATGAGTATTTCTTTCTTCCGATGCCCCGTTTTCCTTATATCTTCCCTTCCATAATAAGCTTTAAGAACTGGTACTTGGAATTTCGAAATATATGTCCCAGATAAGCAGTTTTTCTTCTTTTTATTATTGGCAGCAATTCTCGTTCTTTGTCCATTCGATTTAATACTTCGACATTTGTTGTGTGATCTGTCCAGGGAATTTTAAGTAGTCTTCTAAATACCCACATTTCAAAAGCCTCCAATCGGTTCGTCACATTGGCCTTTATGGTCCAGATTTCTACACCATATAGCAGTATGGAGTAATGTAACATTTTAAAAAAAGCAATAACGAAGCGTTAAGTTATGGCTGCTACGTATCTCTATGTCCGGATCTAGATCTTCGGTTATCCAACTACCGAGATATCTGAACTTGGGGACCTTTTGGATGTTCTTATTGTTTACTCTACTATACTAATTGCAGAGAATATACAAGATCTACAGACACTTTTAGGTAATATAGTAAATGCTAGTGAGAAAAGCTGACTAACACTTATGCTAATAAAAAAAATTATGAAAATTTCCAAAACACAACAAGACATTTTAAACATAAGAGGGGCTTCAATAGAAAAAGTAAAAACAAAAGATATCTTGGTACAATTATTAATGAAAATAACGAATATACAGAAGAAATAAAAATGAGAATTGGACAGGCAAGAGCAACATTTAATAAGAGGAGAAAAGTATTATGCAGTAGAGACCTTAGTTTGCAACTCAAAATAAGAATGTTACGTTCATATGAGTTTTCGGTGCTGCTGTATGGGGTGGAGGCCTGGACCTTAAAGAAAGAAATGAGCAATCGACTTAAGCATTCGAGATGTGGACCTACTGAAGAATATTAAGAATAGGTTGGGTAGACCAAATAACAAATGTTGAGGTCCTCAGAAAGATGAAAAAGGAAATGGAAATCATGAAAACGATTAAGGGGACAGTCTCATGCGATTAAAAAAAAGACGTATTTTAAAATTAAAGCAGAAAAAAAAACTATAATATTTATTAACATAATTCCTTTTGGAGATGATTAAGTAAGTCTTGAAGCACATAATAAAAATTTTTAATAGCGATTTTAACTTCATTGGTGTCCTGTAGATGGCGTGTAGTAAAAAGTGCGTTTTTGGTGGTAAGTCACTTTGTGGGTCACCTATAACAGATATTCAAAAAATTCGAAATGGGTTGTATTCGTGAGACTCAAAACTATCTACTATTGACTATCTTCAAGTCCAGTCGTTCTCCTTTAGTGTATACCTTGCGGTATACCGTAATATAAATATTATGATATACATACATAAGATTAAAATCTTATTTAAACAAATTATAAAAAATTGTAAAAACTAAATAAAATTCTATAAATTTAATAAAATTATAAAAAATTAAAACAAAAATTATAAAAAATTAAATCAAATTAAATAAATATAAATGCAATTAAATAAATAAAAAAAAACTAGTTAGGAAAATTATACTTAAAAAACAAAAGATTTAATTGAAATTGTTAAGTATTCAGTATGACGCCTAATAATTTATTTATTAAATAAACCAAACGATTTTACTGACTATCAACACATCTAATGTTTATAAAATAATATATGTACATTTCAAAAATGACTTTATTAATGAATAAAAATATATTTTAATTTTACAAATTAGTTAAGAAACGAGCAATCTTAGATCCATTGTAGTTAAGTAAAGTTATAATGCGCTATTTCTTATCACTCCTGGTATTTGAGTTCCTAGTGACTAACAAGATTTTCGGTAAAACTATTTTTTAAATCTCTATATTCTTCTATTCATATATTTAAAACTTTTCAATTTTTAAACTCGATGATCGTTTAATGTGGCAAATTGAACCAGTGTAAGTTCATAAATTTTGCTTTAAACTTAGGTCTTATTGAGTTTTTCGATATTTTATTTGATATGTCAACCAGAATTTATTCTTTTCGATCTATCCATATTTCTGCCAAGAATTTTTCTAAAGTATATTTTAACATGGGGTTGCAGTTATATTTATTTCTGAGTTACTAACATCTTTCATAGCAAGTAGTAATCTGTGGTATTATGTATGAAGCTGATATATTTTTCATAGGATTTTTTCTAGTTTTCCGTGTTTTGTGGTTATGGCAGACTGAAGAAGAATCTACTATAATCATTTTGATATATCAGGCTTATTAGGCGTTATGTACACTGCACGCAAAGCGATGAAGTGCGATTAACTTCAAGAACCGGCAGATGAAATAAATAATATTTTTTATTATAAAACTTTTCGCTATGGACATTGAAAAATTTATTAATAGTAATAATGAATTAACAGGATTGAAACGGAACGACATTACTCCTGCTAAACTGTTTGGACTTCAAAAACTCAACTCTCTACTCGTCTGTAATCGCTAGCAATATAAATACAGTTTCGCATCATACAGCTTTTTCGTGACGCTCTTAGTTACCTGTATCAACGAGTGTCATGGGAAAATTGTTAGTTCCCTGGTCTATTTGAAATTCGCAGCTCTTTCCGCTTCGCATGTAGTGCTATATGACCTTCGTTCATAACTTCGCAGTACCTTATTCTTTATCATCCACCGCGTATAATCAACGAGAAAAAAGCCCAGATGTTTAGGTGGTAGAACACGTACAGAGAATTTATGACAAACTGATATGGGAGATCAAGTCGGCAAGAAACTCTTGGATAGGTCTACATTTAGGTAGGGGGATAAACATCTTAAAATATTTAAATGGAGGCAAAATAGATTTAGGCAAATAGTACAGCCAACAAAGACACAAGTAGTTGTAAAGTTACAGATAGAAAGAGCGCGGTATTTTACGAAGTAGTCACCATTAGACAGTTTTGGAAACAGAAAAAGATACAGGGACTGAACTTGTCATCTTGTGTTTTGCCAAAAATTATTGCACAACGCAAATCTTTGGGATCTTAACTGTAAACCCACAATTCGTCACCAGTAATAATAATCTTTTTAAGAGTATTTTTATCCTATTCTTGGAACGAATTTAGCACACATGCGAGTCATTTCCAAATTTCTGAAATACAAGTTTTTCTAACATTCCAAGATAGCCTCTTTATTCGCATAATCAAACGGTAATCTTACTCAATTACGAGTCCATCTGGTGTTATGATGGAAGTTCGACTATAACGATGGTTAGTGTTAACAGACATTTTTATCTATATTTTGCTCATACGTTCTTCTCCAAAGGACTTCTGCATCATTTGAATAGTTTTCACATAATTTTTTTCGAGTTTAAGATGCAAATTCGTTGCTCCAATCTCTCACTTCATTTTTCATCGACACGGTAACAAAATGACAAAATCATATCTATGCACTCACTTCCCGTTGGTTACTGCGATATACTGCAAGTTTATGAAGAATATACATAGAAGCTACCGGAACATTTTGGTGTGAAATTATGGACGATGGTCAGATACTTTTGGGACGAATCTCAAAATTAGAATACAGGCATCAATAAAATATGAGCGGGAATTTGCTTTTGTGTATTTTAGTTTAATGAAACAAGTGTTTATTTCTGCGTGTAAGAACGAATTTATATAAGTCGTATTTGAAACTGATTCACTTTTTTATAACATGGAAAAGCAAAATAATCTGCTTCTTTCATACCACCACAGAAATATCCCCCTAAAAATATCTTATTATGTATATTATGTTTTCAAATTAAATTATGCCTTTCTTTTCATACCTAGAACATAATGTTTTTAATCCCTTTGATTTATTTCTAATAGATATTGTGTATGCATGTGTATACAATCCAATGTTAATGTGTATCCCTTATCAGAATCAATGTTGAAAGAGTTAAAAAAAATTAGTAAAAGTTTTGCAAATTGAAAATCATGCTTCGTGGTATTGTAAAAGAAAGACAAATAAAGACTTTTTACCTAAGGATTCTGAAATGCACTGAAAATTCTGCAAAATTACTTAAATAAGGTAATTGCAATAAATTTAAAATAAAAAGTGTATTATCAATTAGTAGTAGTGGTTAAATATATTATA